CCCCAAAACCCCAAAACCCCAAAACCCCGTGAGAGGATCCAATTTAAGAATTTGAAAAAGAAATATAGGAAAATTCATGGGATTTTGAATGTAATGACGTTTGAGACAAAAGTTGAAATTTTGGAGAATTCATGAATGCTTTTGCGGATAATGCTCTCTAGGCCACAACGAAAAACAACTTTGCTTTTTCTGAAAATATTGTCGGCTCCCAACCTGAAATGACTCAGCAGACCACATACTCCAAAATGAATACACCTAGCTAACTTGTTTTAAATTCTACCAACCTTTCAGTTGAGAACGATATAATTAGATAGTGTTTATTATAGGCGAACTTTGATAATGGTTTGCTATTGCAGGATATTGAGAGGAGTAGTTCCAAAGACTGATAAAATTATTAGCTTTAGGTCAATAACCTACTATCTTATATAAATACATTAAGGGTACGAGAGAGCCTTCATATAATTTAATAATAATGTACCAATCGATTAACTAATTCAATAGTCTCAATAAACTGTACTAAACCATGGTTAGCCAGTTTTCTCAAGGAATAATTTAAACCGGAATGCGAGGTCAAACTATAACTGCATAGCCTTTCGGCTATTATCAAGTTTAAGTTCCCTAAAAGTTATACATCTCCCCAACCGTGATATCTGACAAAGATGTAAAGAGGAACATGGAAAAATTAAATAAAAATTTGCAAGAATGCGGCATTAAACCAATAGAAAATAAGAATATCAGTACAATTACATAATATTCACAAGTATTGAAGGATTCTTCAAATTCAGAATCCACATTAAACAATATTATAGAGATTCATCCTGGTGAAAACTCTATAAGGTTGCCAACTACCCTAAAATCAATGATTGAATCATCTCATTAATATTAAATGGAACTCGATCTACCCAACCCAAGTTTAACGACAACAACTAACAATCACTAAAGCAATAATTTGATTGGAATTTAAGAATGCAATTTATAAAAAGAGACAAAAATGTCACCATAAATGGAGCTAAAAAATCACGTCGGGAAAACAAAAAATATAAATGAACTCAAGGAATTAAGGAGCGATGTCTTATATAAAACTATAATGAGAGATATGAGAAAATTCTATACAAGAAAATTTAATGAAGATTCACAATACATAAGGAAAAAAAGAAATAAAGGAACAAAGTACTTTGTATGCTGCTTGGAAAGTTTCTTGGTACACTCGTTTCCTGAGTTGGCCGCATTATAAGAATCACTAAAACTAAGTGGTGCTGAATCGGATCTCAATCTGAATGAAATGATTTAATTTTTAGGGTGCCTCTTATATCCTAAAGATATGATGACAACTAATAAGATGAAACTCGGATTAAGCAGATATAATGGTGAAAATTCAATAAATATGGAAGATGGATCCCAATCTTGTTTTCAATGGAAAAAAAAATTTTAAACTATTCACAGCTATCTGTATTAGTTTAGTCTAGAAAGATTGAGTTCTCTGATTGATTTATTTCAGTTCGCATTCCTATTTTGCAATTACTTTCAGGAAGCAATAGTACCAACAAATCGCTTCCAGAATAAAAGTCAACATTAAATAAATCAGGTTGCTTACGTTTAAACTTGCAATTAATTATTGGATTTGTGTTAGAAAACTTTGCATAATTCACTAAAATTTTTGAGTAAAGAAAAGGAGTCTCAATTAATCAATGAAAAGTTAATGACATTTATTAATATATAACCCAAAAAATATGTCTATCTAAACGACATACCTTAAAATCAATATGATAACATTCCTGGCAAAATAATACTACCAAGAAAACTCAAGAAGTGTCTCCATATTTAATAAGCAGAGAGCAATGGTTCAAAAAAGTCAAGTTTAAGTAAGAAAAACTCACTGGCTTCCCAAGAATCGGAGGTATGACTAATACATTTCACAAATAGAATGTCACTTAACTAATCTTATTTTTTTCTCTATTATTAAGTAATCATTATTCACCACAATCCATCACTCACGGGGTTTTGGGGTTTTGGGGTTTTGGGGTTTTGGGG